TCTATTATGTTCTTTGGTTAATGAGTGAATGCATAAACCTCAAGACATGATAGACAGTGCATTGGGAAACTGCATATCACAGAGAATGCCCAGATTTCCCTGCAGCTGCATAGCACCGGTCTTTTGTGTTCCCATCACAAAAATTGGGAGCCAGTTTGGTGAAATGGTTCAGACATCAGTTCTGGTCCTGAGTTTTATCCTGCCTTAAGCACACAGCCAGCAGGGTGACTTTGGATCATTCTGTCTCTCTCTCTCTCTCTCTCTCTCTCTCACACACACACACACACACACACACACACACGACTGCGGGATGAAGGTTCTTCGTTGAAGGTTATGGATCAGTTTCACTTTCATATTTTTTTTCCAACTTTCCAGTCTAGGGCCAGAAGAGAATGACCGGCTCAAAGTCACCCAGTCAGGTTCTATGCCTAAGGGAGGACTAGAACTTGGTCTTCTTTCTCCTAGTCCAGCATCTTAATCCACTTTACCACATATAGGCACATGTGCTAGGAATAAGCAACCAATTTCAATGCAATTGTTAAATGGATGAAATTAGAGAGAATTAGTAATGAAAACTTACAATGCATTTTTAAATTTAAATTTAAATTGCAGCAACAATAACAAGGTTATTCCACTGCTCTATGGCCCCCCACTCCAATGTTATCTTAAACCATCTTTTGTAATCCCTCACTCAACATAAGCCAATTACAGGAGCTGCAATTCAACTCATATGGGAAGCACTTGGTTAAGGCTGCTATTGTATTGGTTGCTAAGATTGCAGCTCATCTAAACAAGCCTCAGAATATGAGTTAAGATCCATTCATTACAGGACTTTCTCCATGCCCTTGTTGTGTCAAGAAAGACATCTAAGGAAAACCAAGCTATCCCCTTTCCCCTTCCCGCTCCACCTTCCCAAAATACCAGTTGGCTCTCTTGAAACAGGATGCAGAAAATCTTTTTCATCAATATTGTGCAATGCTGCTAGTCTATTTTCACATGCTCATCTGTTTGAAATATTGGCCCCTTACCCATGTCTTGAACTTTGTGACTTCTTCATGATATCTGTCACTACTCTATTGATTTCTCCCTGTTTCTTCTCCTTTAATGCTGTCAGCAGCGTTTTCTATGACAGGAATGATTTTGCTGTTAGGAATTTCATTACTTTTCCAGCATGGAGAAGGTATATACAATTTTATGTGAAAACAAGGCTTTGAAAGAGTTTGAGTGTTTTTTTTTTTTTTAAATGAATTTAATACACTGCGTATGATCTATCTCGGGTGCGGATTATTTGTTCCCGAGAAACAGTTTGTAGTTCGAAGGGGTACAATCTAGGCAGGACTGCAATTTGACAAAGAGATGTTATGTTTGAGTTGTATCTCACAGTAAAATCTCATAGTATGTGGAATGAGGAATGTAGGGGTTCTACTAAAATTTTCTCAGATACTATTTTCATAAATAGAAACATCTAAAATCTTATTTCCTGGCTCCTAATTTCTGTCCTGCTGTGTTTCATCAATTAGTTGTTTTATAGCTATTTTCCATGCTGGATTCATATAGGAACTTTTTAGCAAAATGCTCAGAAATTTTAGCCTTGGATTTTCTTTTCTTACATGCCAACATTAGCAAGATAGCCATTTTCACACATGCAAAATACCCATAACGGAAGAGCGGATAATGAAGAAGGTAGAATTTGCAGAAATGGCTTAAATGGCTTGTTTGAATAGGGAAGGAACAATAAGTACTTTTATAAAGAAACCCGGGAACTCTTTATGGACTTTTTTGTTGTTGTTGTTATTGCTGAAAATGGATTTACTGGGTTTATGGATTGAAAGTGCTATATACGGAAGAAGGAAATCATATAATTTGGGAGGGCAGAAACAATATTAATTATGTATATTGTGTTATCTAAAGAAACAATGCATTTTACTTCATCCCAATAAGCGATGAGAGTTTGCACACTCAGACCATTTACAGTGGATTTTAGGAATTTGATACACCATAACGTTTTCAAATGGTCATTTTAGCAACTGATGGAACTGAAGAAGCTTCTCAGATGAGAAGCGAAGGATTTTCAAAGGAAAAAAAAATGAGAAAGTTCAGTTGCCTTTTGAAAAGCCTCTTCGGGTCATCTTATCTGACCATTTACCAATATTTTCTAATTGTTCTATTCCAATATCTTAGACCTGGTACTCTGTGCACATATATGTTAACCAGTCCCTATCTTTCTGGACTTTACATCCAATTATTGAATCCTGAAAATCCACAGTTTTATCAGTAGACAATGTAACAAAATTTAATGCCTTAACATCAGACATTGAGACCTTTCCATCACCATAGAATCTATAAGGCTGTATGGCAGCAACTAGAGTTGGAGAACATACTTTGGTGTTTTATCCAAGGGTCTTCCCAAGCTACTGTCCTGGATTCCTCCCATTTGCTATTCTTGGCCGTGACCAAGCCACATCAGTCAAGGGATTCCATTCTTTCCCAAATTCCTTCAAGTTTACTTACCATGGATATGCCTCTTCCTAGTTGGTGAACATACTTCCATAGAATGACTACAAGAAGGGCAGAGTCTCCAATGGAGCAAATGGAACATGAAAAATAAGGAATTCCTTGGGGTTCGGAAGGCTTTGAAGACCTCCATTTTTCCTCCCCTTTCATAAGACATTCTTACAGGAAATGTAGTTAAGTTATCCATCAGCTATAATCTCATAGTTAGCCTCTGGTTGCCCAAGAAACAAGGTGAACTTGTAATCTACCTATATATTCAAAAGAACCTATATATACCTCAAAGTATATATTTCCTTACATATTGCTATATTTTGTTTGTAAAGCTAAATAAAGTAACAACTTTACTGAGAAAGCATCATTTTAAGGTATGGAATCAGATATACTTTTGTTTAGACCAGTGGTTTTCAATCTGTGGTCTGTGCACCCCCAGGAGTCCATGATCTTGTCATGGGGGTCCACAAAGGCTTGAGGAAATTTGATATTTAAATCCAGGGGTGGGATTCAATTTTTTTAACAACTGGTTCTGTGGGCATGGTTTAGTTGGTGGGCATGGCTTGGTGGCCATGTGACAGGATGGACGTGACTTGGTGGTCATGTTATTGGCTAGACATGGCCAACTCAATATCATCGAGGCACGCATCTCCTTGCCTGGCCTCTCATGACTGTGGGGATGCTGCAACAGTCGTAAGTGTGAAAAATGGTCATAAGTCACTTTTTTCAGTGCCATTGTAACTTTGAATGGTCACTCCACACAAGCAAAGTATCAGCAAAGGAGGGAAAAAAAAACTCCTGAGATGTTCCTGAGACAGGAAGCCTAGTCCTGCCAAGAATGTAATAAGGATTAACGGTGAGGCAGTTTCTGTAAGCAACACCAGAATGTTTCCTTCCTGCCTCCCTTACAGGATTAGGCCAGTAATTTCTTCTAACAACCAGTTCTCCAAACTGCTTCGAATATTAACAACCGGTTCTAGCGAATAGGTGCAAACTGGTAAAATCCCACCCCTGTTTAAATCTTCAGTGAAGTCTTAGGAGTTTGTGACCATAGTCCATGGTCACAAAGGGTATTTAAAGGGGATCTGTGATGAAGAAAAGGTTGAGAATCACTGGTTTAGACAATACCAAAGGGAAATTATTTAAAATACTGGTCCAAATTTATCTTTTTTCTGTTGGATAATTAAAGTACAGTGGAACTTCAGGTTGTGAACGCTTTTGTTTGTGACCAAATTGGGTGACAACCAGAATTTTTGCTTCTTTTTTGCTTCTGGTCACGAACAGATCTTTGGGTGGTGACCAAGCAAATCCAAAAACCACAGTGGCAATTTTCCTTGCTGCGGCAATTTCCCCTTTGGCGCCATTTTTTTGTGGTTTTTTGGTCCGTGCATGCACAGATGGTTGTGCTTCTGGTCATGACCAAATCAGGTTGCGACTGTAGTCCTGGAATGGATTATGGGTGCGACCCAAGATTCCACTGTATCTTTGAATTTGAGATATCCTCTCTGGATATGTAAGTAAATCAAATAATTTCTAAATGTGTATGGTTTGAAGAAGGAGACATTACTGCCTCGTAATTTTAGTTGCACAAGTTTAAGACTGACTTGGTGGCCTAGAGGAGTAGATATTTGCCTTCCACTCAGAAGGTTGAGAGTTCAATCTTAGGTAGTAGCAGATGTTTCTGAACTAGGGCACAAAGAAACAAATTATGTGCTGTGAACCTCTCGTAGGTGTCAGAAGAGCATCTGACCAGTAAATGCTCAGGTCCATCCAGTCACCCCAATTTTACCTGAATAGGGAATATAGGGTTGTAAAAAGAAAAAAAAAATAGGTTCATGGGTTTTCTGTAGTGACCTGGTATATTTTTTTTGTCAGGGCAACCTGGTCTACCCAATTATAGGACGGAGCATACTGCTTCCGTTTTTGCCTTTCAGACCCAATCCAGGAGCCTTCACAGGCAGTCACTTTCACGGCAAACTGTTTTTTGTCCTTGCCAAACTAAAAAACGGTTTGTAGTTTGTGAAGGCTGCTGGATTGGGGATGAAAGGCAAAAACAGAAACAGTATGCTCCATCCCATAATTGGGTAGACCAGGTTGCCCTGACAAAAAACAATCTTTCCCCTGGTATAGCCAACAAAGGGAGGAGAACCCAGAGCTTAGAGGTTAATACATCTACCTAATATACAAATAGCCTGGGTTTGAATCCCAGAAGGGTATGGCTAGCTTATGAGAGCTAAATAGCTTGAAATAGATCTGTATTGGTCTCCCATTATTTCTTTGTCAGCAAAACATAAATTCAACCTGGTATAATGCAACTAAGGTGCCCCTCAACTGTGTAAGACTTGCTAAATTTATTACCTCATTTTAGGGGTCTGCATAAGACCTAGTGAAGATTTCAGATCACCTTTTCTGTTTCTGTTTTCAAACAATTTAATTTGCTTGATAGAAATTGCACAAGTAACATGTTTACACAATGCTATCTTTCCTTGTTCTAGGTTCTCCTTACTATTACAGTGCTGCAGCCCGTGGAGCTGCCCCACCAGCAGCCGCTGCTGCTTACGATCGTCACTGACAAAACAAACCAAGAAGCACATTCACCACATCACGTCAGACGACACCACTGGAATCATCTAGAGTGCAACTATGAAATCAAGCTATAAGGAACGATAAGAGAAATTGTCCAACCAACCCACGCAATGATTAGAATATTATTCTTTCAACTAGGTGAACAGCTTATTACTTCACTGTTTTTAATTAATGGATTTTTTTAGAGATCTTAATTGAATTTCCCATTAAAAAACACAGGGCAAACAAAGAATTAGTTTTGCTCACATTTCCTGCAGTTTGTGAAATGCAGTAGCCATGTCTAACATGCGGTCTTCTTGCTCTGGACTGACAAGCTATATCTGCTTCCTCTAGCCATGTTGGGGAATAGGAACATTTCTAATGTTGAACAATTCCCTCTGGGGTATCTCTTTAATGTGTGCATTGTAATACAACATGTAGTTCCAGCTTGGACAACACGAATTGTGTCTTAATTCAGTGAGTAGGCATTAAAGACAAAAGAAAAACAAATCTTCTACTCAAATAGCAAAGCACCAATGTAAATAACTTCTTTGTGTTACTATAGAGTGGTTTAGCATAAGTCAAATACATGGAACAAAGGATGATCTTAAAATACATTGGAAAAATGTGTTCTGATAATGGTGCACTGACTCTAAAACTTCAGTAAGCTTTAAAACAACTCTAAACCAGGTTAACATTAACTGGCCATTTCTGGGGCTAATGTTCTTTCTAGAAAAACTATTCTGACAGTCAGGCGAGCATTTGGTAATGAACCTATGAGCAAATGACAGGGAGAGTTACCACCATTTTAACTGTTGAATATTATGTTTATTTCTAATCACAAACAATATGGTTTTTGACTTTAAGTTCATCTCAGTATAAAATAAGAAATTGCAAATGACCAAAAACTTATATACAGTGGTACCTTGGTATTCGACTGCTTCAAAACTCATCAAATTTGGTACTCGATACATTTTGACTCAAAAATGTTGTCTCAGTATATTTGTTGTTTGTTTGGTACCTAATGTACTATGATGGAAAAGGGGGACAGCCAATGGAGAATGGACAGGAAGTTGGCCATGCCAAGAAGGTCGCTGCAAAAGGAAGAGGAGGATGGCCACATAGAGTGGACAGGAAGTCAGCAGTGCTGGGAAGGTCACTGACATATCAGAAGGGACAGACGGCAAGTTCTTTTAGGCTGAAACAAAGAGTCATGTGGTGAGTCACGTGGTTTGTTTGGGACTCATCAATTTTAGTTTTTGTCGTGCTTCCTGGAACCAATTAATGATGAATACCAAAGTACCACTGTACATAAAAAAGAAACACTTATACACAATGAAGGAAAGGTATTATCTCCCAAGGTAGAATTTGGGGGCTTTTTTCTCTTCAAAAAGGAATAACTTGAGTTTCTCTAATCTTATTAAAGCAGTTTTCATAAAGTTTCAAGATGAGAGGTTGAAAAAGGTCAGGGTTATATCATGTCATGGGCTATTCATAAGTAAAATTTCAAGGCTCTCCTAAAGTTCCCCAACTGGAACTGACATAATTTCACTAAGAATAAGTTAAGTGTATTAATAGTGTGGCTTTTCATCCTGATATACAAAGAAAGGATTAGGATTTCTATGCTTTAACATTTTTCCCTATGGTATATACACTCCCCTATGTATAGAATGAAGTTTATAAATGTTAGGGGAAAGATTGACTTCAATTATTTATGTTGCCATAAAATTCTCTTCACTCCAAGAACCACCCATTTTATTATTTTTTTTTAAAAAATCTTCTGACCAGTGATGATCTAGTTTAGGGATGTCAAACTCGTGTTGTCACAGAGGTGTCACGTGATGTATCACAACTTTTTCCCCCTCCGCTAAACCGGGCGTGGGCGTCGCCAGTGCGTGATGCATCTGGCCTGCAGGCCACAAGTTTGACAGCCCTGATCTAGTTGAATAAAAGGATATGCTTAGAAGAAGCTCTCTTTTCTTATACAAAATCAGTGGGACAGAAGCTGACTAATGATATCAGAGATTTCACAGGCCTACCCAAATCAATATCCTACATATGGAAAATACTCCTTAAGTCTTGCTTGGTTTTTATGTCAAGGGATAATTCAATGATGAGTGCTTTTGATAGTGCCTCTCGGGTATAGGGGGAAAAAATCTTGTGCCCTGCTTTAATTTTTTTGTGGGGGATAAAATTATATGCATGACAAGGAACCCCAAATCTTTGTTGAAAACTTAAGAATGCTCAGATGAATGGGACACTTTAAAATGGAGTTTGTATGAAATTATCTTTATACTTTGCCCGTCTATCTTGAATTCTGTCTTTTTCTAAGCCAAAATGCATTTATATATCCCCTTCAAATCAGATATTTCCATCACAGATCATTGGATGATTTACAGAAACCCAGTGATCCTTTTGCATATTTAATTCAAAGAAATGATTGAATAACCTTATTTCAGATCATATCAGAGACCATTATTTAAAGTTGACTTTCCCCCACTTAGTACTCTCCAAAAGGTCTGAGCAATGCTTAATATACCCGGAGGACACCAGGTTGGAGTCTAAGATTTAAATTATAGGAAATAGGAAATTATAGGAATATGGACTTGAGTCAATATAAGTTGCAGAGATAACCAGCAAATTAACTTAAGACACCCAAGGTTTATAGAAGAGTTGCAAAACCAGATAAAAGGGATTTCCAGATGCCAGTTAATCAATAGATGGAAGTATCAACAAAAATAGTTCCTTATTAATGAAAAATATCTTCCATCTGGCCAACAAATGAGTTAATGAGTGTTCATCACATAAACATGTTCTTAGCTTCTGTTTTTTTAATTAAAAAGAAATTGCCATTTCATGTAGAATTTTAACACATCAAAACCTTAGCTGTTGTTTTTTTTTATCATGAAGTTTTATGCAGATACTAAATAGAGGACTGGTTTAACCAACTAATTCAAACTGCATAACCAGCAAGGAATCGTTACGAGAGTACCTGTAGAATAAATACATTATTTGAAGCTGTAAGAAAACAGTTTTCTAATCACTATTTACTGGGGCTTTCTCTGAAAGTCTGTAGATAAATGAGACTTGCACAGAATAAATTTCTGGTTAGCTGTGGCCATCTTGAGTGGGCATCATTCTCCTTTGTGCAGACAGAATAACTCCTGTTTCACCCATAAACTATTGATTCCCATTCTAAAATGGTTGCTCTCCTAATGCTCAGTTTTGATGTACAGGTAGTCCTCGACTTACGACCACAACTGACCCCAAATTTTATGTTGTGAAGTGCGACATTTATTAAGTGAGTTTCACCCAATTTTACGACCTTTCCTGCCACAGTTGTTAAGTGAATCAGTGCAGTTGTTAAGTTAGTAACATGGTCGTTAAGTGAATGGTGCTTTTTTCAGTGCCATTGTAACTTTGAACAGCCACTAAATGAATTGTTTTAAGTTGAGGTCTACCTGTATGGGTATGAATGACCTTGGGAGATAGGAGGAAGAATCACAGCCTAAAAATCCTTCGTGCAAAAGGTAACTCAGCCCACAAAAAAGAAAAGTGTATGGGATATATCTCAGAAAGAATCTTTCTAGCTTTCCGGAGAGTAAACGTAAAAACAGGTGAGAAATTCTTGCAGACTAGCAAGATTCTGTTGCTGTAGCCTTACAATAAAGGTAGTGTTAGTTCTCATAGTTTCTGCTTCTTGTCTGGACTACTCAAAAAGCTGACAATATGTTCATAAAGTCTTGTTGATCCTTTCCCAGCAGATCTAAATCAAAAATATGCAGATAGAGGGAAAAACTGATATTCATTGGAAGATGTAGAGCGAATGTTTTAATATAAAGTTGGAGTGACCAAGTACAGCATTTTTTTTTTTTTACTAAAAGTCTTTAGCCTTTTCAACAAAGTGAAATAAAAAAACAATATCGTCTAATCTCACTAATCCCTAATTTCCAACCATGGGCAAACAGTAAAATATTCCTGGGTCAGATGCTATCCTAATGCTATTTTCTCCTCTTTAATGCCAAACCAATTCAACTCCATGGAGAAAACCTCTCTCAGAAAACCACCCAAGAATAGCTCCCACACACAATGTTTTAAATTTCTGTAAAAGAGCTTTAGACAGTCCTCTTCTGTGAGTAGGCTCCTATAGTCTTTGGTAATATTAAGTCATTGCATCTCCATTGCTACTCCATAGTGCGTATGTGACTAGGAAACAGAGGAACTAAGAAACATTAGCGTATTTTGAAAGCAACTTTCAACAGCTTGCACAAAGAAATGATGACATCTAAAGCCTGGTGAATCAGGAGCAGCCACAGGTAGACAGCCCTTGGAAATCCAGGCTCTGCTTCACCTTGTCAGGATTCCAGCAGTTACCCCCATTTAAATCATTAGTCTAGAGCCAAACTTCCAAAACTTAAAAAGGATTTATTGGGAGTTGAACTGTCTGGCACTGCCTGGGTGCAGCCGACTCCGAGGCACATAATTCATTGTCACCCTTGACCCTGGTTTCCACCACCACCCCCGGGTGTATTGTAATTCATATTCTCCAATGAGACACATCCATAGCCAAGAGTCATCAATCATGTTCTCCAGTTAGAATTTTGCACGGCAGAAACTTCGGTCACCTGGGCTTTGAAAACATTTATGGAATGCAGTTTCAGTTTGCAAGCTGCTGCACTGCTCCCCCCTCTCTTTCTGTTGGCGATTCTAAAAAGACCATACAAATATTTTATGAGTTGGCACACCTGACATATTGCATGCATGTGATACAGAAAGGCAGAGAACTCATCTTGTAAGTTGACGTCTTGGTCAACTGACACTTCATTGATGTGATTTATAGGGGCAACGTACTGTAGCTCACACGGTGACCCCTACCTTTATATTATTTTGAGGGTTTTTCTTAGGTACCAACTGACCAAGCTCTCTTGGTCATCATACAGACACCTAATTCTTGCATAAATATTCAATAATGTGTGTTTCTATGTATGTATGCATGCATGTATGTAT